TAATGCAATGCAGCAACATTGCATGCAAAACACGCCATCTTGCGAAAGGGGTCAAGTAAGGCACGCAAATGGTTCAATTTTGATATCAGCCAAACAGTCATGTGAGCAAAACAAATATGTGCAAATGATGAACTCAAACAAAATTTTAATGTTCTGGTCTCAGTGACAGGCCGTATGGTATGTACAAATTTTCTTGTTTCCTTCGTTTGGGAGTTGCTAGTATAATCCCTGTTTCAATTATTGCTCGCAGTGTACAAACACTGTCCTTGAAGAATGCAATACATTTTTTGTTAATTGTTATATAGATAGGTATAGTTTTGTGGCCCTTAGATAGTGCTTTATAATCTCACATAATTATTCTAACATTATCAAGCACTAGTAGATTTATGTTTATCTAGCTCTAAGACATAGTAGTTTATCTGCCTTATCAAAAATTTCTCTATTTCATCCTAAGTTCGTGCGGGAGGTTTTCCCTGATGCTGCTGGTCCTCACAAATTGCACTTTTAGACTTACTCTAATGGTACATAAAACACCTTAGGTACCACTTTACTAAGTTAGAAAGGTGGGAATAATAGTAGAGGGGCTCTGTGCATCTGACCCATGTACAACTTGATATTTGATGAACCTCCTTCTCCCTCTGATTCAATTCAACTTATCATCATGTACAGTAAGTGCACAGTGCACATGCCACACTTAGCGACAACAAGTTGAAGGTAGCAAAACAGAATTTTGAAAAAGTCGTACTGCAGTTTGATATGCAACACACTACAAACGTGTCTAGAGTCTCGTCACATGAGGTTGCTGGGTTGCGAGGTCTAGCAATCCGAAGAGTCTCACACATGATGCATTGTGATTCACAAAAAGCGTTAGAAGGATAGACACATCTACAATTCCATCATGATACAAAGCGACCAATCGGTCAACTCTTTCAAGAAAGACGACCTCATACAAATAACAATTTTTAAATTTTATGCAGCAACAGCAACCTCCCCTAGCTGCTGACGTTCTCTCGAGGTCTCGTGGTGCTGCTGGAGCAATCGGTCGAGTGCCTCCTTTTGACCGACTGCGAGCTCTCCAGACTGGATGCCGGAGTGATATATACGCAGTAAGGAGTCAACATCGTCCATGGATTGAGTGCGGACATCAGCAAGCTCCTTGATCTTGGCAGTTGCATCCTTGACCTGTTACAATCGTATTAGTAAATTGTGGAAGGGCGAGGCAAAGATTATATAGCAGACCTCATCGTCGGTGAGATTGAGTCCGAGCTGCTCAACTCTTGACTTGACAGCGTTCCAGCCAGTGAGACGGTGTCTGATAGCAAACATCAGCCTATCACGAGTCATGAACGGCTAGGAAAGGTACACACCCAATCGACACGTATCGGGTAAGCCCAAAGTCTTCAGGCTTTAAAATCTCGTATGTGCTAGGGTTGTTCAAGATCGCCTTGGCATGAATACCAGCCTTGTGCGTAAAAGCACAGTAGCCGGTGATTGGGTTCATGAAAGGCACGTTGACCTCTACTGCCTCTGCGACGAGGTTTTCAATCTCGCGCAGCATGGGGAGATTGTACTTGGCCTTGACGTATTCGGGGTTGGCAGCGTACAGGCATGCCACGAGACCACCGAGAGGCGTGATACCGACGCGCTCACCGATGCCAAGGACCGCTAAGAGAGATTCAGCTACGTACCAGTGAGGAAAAAACGAATATACGTACAGGTATCGATGTGTGTTGCGCCAGCCTCCAACGCGCAATAAGCGTTAGCAATTGCCATTCCGGTGTCATTGTGTAAGTGGATCTCAATATCACAACCAACGACGCCGCGGAGGGTACGAACAAGGTCATAGACTTGTCTAGGGTTTGCGCATCCAACGGTGTCAGCTATGCCCACACGGTTGACACCGACCTTGTCGACAGTCTGGTATATGGAAAGTAGATCGACGAGGTCGGAACGGAAGGAATCTTCTGAGGAAAAGCGAACTTCGATGCCCTTGGACTTGACGAATGTGATGACTTCGATGGCAGTCTTGGTAATGTAAGTCATGTCCTTGCCGTGGGAGAATTCGCGGAGGAACGAGGATGTTCCAATCACAACATCGACCCCATCAACACCTACGGATTGTGCAAATGAGTGAAAAGATAGGGTGAAAGGGCTGTGAAGCTCACCAGTTTCGACAGCGATTCGTGCATCGTCCATGTGGCAACGGATGTGGGTGAGAATTTTGGCCTTGAGACCGAGCTTGCAGATGGCCTCGCAGTCAGCACGCGATTGCTCAGATGCAGCGGGAGAGGTTAGCTCGATGTACTCGACACCGAATGCATCAAGGGCCTTGGCGATTGCGATTTTTGTTTTGGTATCGAAGAAGGCGTTGGCAAACTGCTCACCCTCTGGATCACCAATCAAACTGGGCCAAAGTGCAAAAGACTTGCAAGACGTACCTCGAAGAGTACTCTCGATGATAGAGAAATTTGATATGTTGCTTAGAAAGTCTGACGCGCGTGGTGCATACGGATTCCTGCGCTGTGCTTCACTGGGGTGTCCATTGGCACCGTTCGCGCCGTTGATGCCATTAGATTTGGCAGCATTCAGGCCGTTTGCACCGTTGATCTGGATCATCTGGGTCTTGTCAGGCATCGATAGGGATTCTGGATTTTGATGTGAGCAGGAGCACGGCATTTTATAGTTTTGAGAGGACGATGAATGAGATCTGCCTAGGACAAGTCAGAACGAGTCACGCTCGATCATAAGATTATAAAATTAGCTTGACACACTTACAAGCCTGGGAATGACAAATAATTTAATTAACAATAAGTAATGAGCCTACACCAATACTCGAGGCGATTGTTGCGCGAGTCTCAAATGAATGGTCGATGATAGGTTCCCTTAAGCTTGTCGTGGCTCCGTCCGCGCCACTGTCCGAGCACCACTGACATGCATATACCCCTATACTATGGCCACCCGCAAAATCACACCATTGCATAGTATCTTTTGCATATGGCTATTTAAATCACTTGTCTGTTATCACCGTTCCGTATGAGTGACTTTCAGACATTCTGGTACCAAGGACCAAGTCAATCTCATTATCTAGTGCCTGAGCGCTGAGCAGCTCACCTGCAAATGCAGTCCTGTCAGCCCAGAAGACATGTCAAGAAATACCACTAGCGAGGGATGTCAGGGGGAATTTACGATAAAGCATAGTTGGCGCCAAAGAACTGAAAGTGATAAAAATCTACGTGCACCGGCCAATTAAAATAGTAGCTTATATAGTTATAGTACAGAGACACGGAAAGAACGACATGAGCGAAATTTGAGTTCGAGGGTGGAAACTCATTGAATGCATGCTAGTAGTGTATCTCGTCCACCACACGCGATCAGAGGAGTTGGAGACTGTCGCAGGCTCGCTTTTACGATTACTTGTACAACAAACAATTAACCGCCTCGGGTGGCTGTCTCCAGGCTTCGAAATCCAGCTGGCATGGGAGTATCGACTACGGCGCAATTAATGATATCGTGAATGTGCCAGTGGGTGTCCCATAAGTCGGCGATGAGACGAAATCAGGTTGAATCGTACAATTCTAAGCTTATGTTAGGTATTCTAACGCTCGTCCAGATATGGCATCTAATCCCAATTCCCCGCGCGCAAGTCATCGTAGAATTGATGAACGATTTCCTGCATCAGACATTGCATCAACGTGTGTGCGCATTGAGTTTCTCTCCTGAGGATCGCAGACTCGACTATTTTCCTCATCTCCAGGCTCCGGTTGTGGTAGCTGAGAAGGGCGCTGACTCCACGCAGGGCAAAGATTCAGTACTCAGTACTCAGAGTGGGAAACAGAGTCACCGCAACAACTACACACCGCTGCATACACATATAACCATTCTAGCTTTCATCTGCAATGTTCGACTCTCATAGACATACCTGGTCCGTACTCGTTACACATTTAGCGTAGTAGTAAGGCGAGAGTAGGTTTCATTCCAGCGTATTTGCAGATCGCCTAGTCTCCCGAGTGATTGTGTGGGTAGTATCATATGAGAGCAAACATAGAGAGGACATGAATAATGCAATAACACCTGTCTAACCCCGTTTCTTCGACACACCGACCGTTTTCCCGCGACGGCCTGCACCACGTTTCAAAAAAGTGGTAACATAAAGCGGGAACGAGTTGCTTACCAGTAGTTTTTGTGTGTTGACCGCGCACCCGCAGGCCCCAGAAGTGCCTGAGACCACGGTGGGCCCGAATCTTCTTCAATCGCTCGAGGTCATCACGCAACTTCGAATCGACACCGTTGGAAAGGATCTGCGAGTCCTTGCCGTCCACAATGTCCTTCTGTCTGTTCAAAAACCATGTGGGGATTTTGAATTGAGTGGGATTTTGGATAATCGTAACAATACGCTCAAGCTCGTCAGAGTTCAATTCACCAGCACTATACAATTATATGAGCGAATTGCGTACCACAGAATGGAAACACATACCGTTTGTTGAGGTCAACATCTGCCTTCTTGCAAACAAGGTTGGAGTAACGACGTCCAACACCCTTGATCTCCGTCAGAGCGTACATGATCTTGCGCTTTCCGTCAACATTAGTGTTGAGCAGACGCAGAATGTGCTGTGGATGGCGTAAATCGAGAGCAGATACAAAGTTCAAGGCAAACATACCTGGAACTGTTGATGCGCTTCAGGAACGACGAGAGACATGGTAGTGATCTGCAGGTAAAGATTCCATAAGCCTGTTATCCAGAGGGAAATCCTTCCATCCAGCGAAAACCTGTCTCAAAATCTTCTGATTCTTCCCAGACAAGCAAAGTGCGCCCTAACGGATTGGTGTGTGCATGAAAATGGGCTCACCTTCGTTCAGTCGATAGCCTTGACGCTGGGTATGACAGCGAGCGGTGGGTGAATGGTGAGACACAATTTCTCGGCAAATTCCGCTATCCGCGATCACGTGGCCTGTGGTACAGTCGCGTGTTGCCAGTGTGGTCGTGACGGTACTAGTACTGATTTTGAACTTGCTCGTCGCTTCATTTTCTAACCACATCCTCATTACAAAGATCTGATACATGTCCAAGAGAAAGGTGGGAGATGCATTAACCATATCCTTGCCACCCTCTTATATTTCCAGCAGTATAGCTCTCCAGCAATTTTGAACGCAGAACTCGAAGCTGTCCGCGGGAAGGTCTCCCTTGAAGAGACAGAGGAGTCATGGGACAAGATCGAGCAGGGCATCGTGCAGCTTACCCATTGTTGTAATAATGGTGGATGCGACTTCGCCACGGAAATGGTTGCTGGTATACGCTCGCTTTCTAGACCTATCAACCACGCTATGAATTCGGAGCGTAGTAGGCTGTCAGGTTCCACGATCGAACTTGTGAAGGCTCTGTTAACCGGTCTGGGCTCCTCATTTGAGCCCCTCGTCTCGCTGTTTATGCCGACTCTTCTCGGGCTTTGTGGCCGGACCAACAAGGTGTTCACAAGCCGAGCAAAGGCGTGCATTCTCGCTGCAATTGAAAATACTCAATCGACTTCGATTCTGCCGTATCTCGCAGACTCTTTAACCCAAAAGTCGGTTTCTCTGCGTGTAGTGGCTGCAGAGGGTGTCCTTGCTTGCCTAAACTGCTTCAATCCTCCTGACATTGAGAAGGACACGCGTGCTCGACTTATCGAAGACGTTATCAAGTTGACTGCCCGGGATGCCAGCGCAGACGTTAGAAGAGTGGGAAAGTTGATTTTTGAGGCATATAAAGCCCTTTTACCTGATCGCGTAGATAGGTTGGTTCCTAAAGCTTCCACTCGTGACATACATGCCTGACATACATGATTCAGTTTCATTGCGCCCTTAACCCCTGTCATCAAGAAGTACTTAGACGTGAAAGGGACAGTTGCTTCACGGTTGGCTGCACAAGCAGTTTCCCGTGGTCCCGCAGCGACAGGAAGAGTGACCACAAAGCCAATCGGGTCCCTCCAGGCTCAGAAGACGAGTTCTCATTCTAGAGCTCCATCTACGCAGAGCACTATCTCCACTCGTGCTTCCGGGAAACATGCAGAGAGACCCATACGTCCTCCTAGCTCTGAGCTGCCGCGAGAGGTACCTGCAGCAAGGCTACGTGCTGTGTCAAGTCAAGCAACATCTAGTGCAATTGCGGGGTCATCAATGAGGGAAACATCTCGCCAAGGTGCACTCCGTCCCCCGTCGGTGGAAACAGGTCCATCCACTGTGCAAAGCACAAATCGACGGAAGGACATCTCACGTCCTCCAGTTCCCACTATGCAGGGCCCTCAGCGAGTAGACACTATGCTCATGAAGTCACACGACGAGAAGCCTCGTGTTGGAGGAGGAGCTCGAAGAGTTCTCATTCCCACAGCTCCTTTACCAGAAACCAATGACACCACGACAATACGGCCAGTTTCAAAGACCGGTCCTCCTTCAACCAAGCCAACTTCGGTTAACTCACTCGCACAATCTGTTCCGAAACGAGATTCACAGAATGATCCAGTAACCACAAAATTAGCTCAACTGCCCCGGCTCGCGCTGCGTCATCAGCGGTCACTGCTACCACCAGACCGCCATCTCGAACGGGACCACGGCCAGTGACAAAATTAGACAATCCGCCAACCAAGAGTACAAGTTCTCGGCCTGGTAGGTCACGGTCACCGACCACGGAGGTTGAGCAACAGCAGACTTCCCGTAAGCAGGCTGTTGAACCTAGTCGTTCTAGCCAGCAAGCCGCGGTTCAGAAGAAGCCGGTGTGGGGAGGACGGTCGTCGGGCAAACTGTCCAAGCCTGTCGTCAAGGGACTTTCGATACGTCCCAAGCAGGGCAGGGTGAAGAGTTCTGACACTCGCAAGCCCGCACCGGAACACGTACCATTGCCTCCCAGTCCCACTGTATGTCCTACTGCAGTGCCTCTGCCATCTTCCCCACCTTGTAGTCCCCGTCAGTCACCTCAGCTCGAGCCACCAGCGTCAGGAGGGCAATCCGTGCAAGTTACTATCGATGATACACATGTCGCAAAAGATGTTCGTCCTCCCTCCACCTCCATTGAAGCTACGCCTCTGCGCAACGTGAACCTTCAAGAGTCCCCATCCAAAACACCCATAACAGCTCTCCTTTCATCTATTCAACGTGGATTCTTATTTACACCTTCGTCGCCGCTCTCACCTCCCCAAGCTTATGTAACTGAAGTCATTGCTCATACATACCGCCCGAACAGCCCAACAGCTTACAAAGACATGGCCTGCGTTGGTGTCATTTAGGATAGCACGGCACGACAGATTGAAAGTTATGGATGTCAACTAGACTATATGCCTATCGTAGTAATTGACTCGGGATTAATGACATCCGTATACTAGAGCAGTGTGGAACTTTGGGCGTCATCCATAATGCGCAAGGATCGGCTTCCTTGTATTGAGTCTGCCTACGAGATATCACTATGAATCCTGTAAGTTTCCTGGTGCGGGAACCTGAATCTATGGTCAATCTGTGTATCAGAGACCAGAAGTGAACACATGCCATCCATCAATGACTCAAGAACCTGCGTCCCTTGAGTAGTCGTCTGGCTATAATCTTTCTACCAGTTGCGGTCTTCTTCCGAGCAAGAAAGCCGTGCTTTCTTTTGCGCTTTCGCTGTGAGGGTTGGTACTCGGTACCACGGGAGGCAAAACGCCTCTGACCGAGCGCGTCACATAGTGAAGGTAGTGAGAGTGTTTGTGGTACAAGTAGCGCGCGGTTGATTAAAATAGAGCGCGACGCCGAAATAATTGGATTCACCGCAGTGAACGATGGTATACTGAGCAACGGTCTACGAAGCGCTCCCAGCAGTTGAAGAAACATGTTGAACACTTCAAGAAGTGCTAAAATTTAGACTCACGGGTAGTGTTGTTGGCAGAATGCTGCCATTCTGCCGGTGGCAATTGCCGGCAGTAGGTCGGCAGAAATATTATGACCTAGTATTTGTTCCGACTAACAAACAGTAAAAATTTGACATATGTTAGAAAACTTAGAATGTATCTTGGTGGTTGTTACCATGGCCTCAAAGTCCAAGGGCTGTCCCGTCCGAAAACTTGTGTCTGACCACTTTGTTATTGGGGAGAAAGTCAAAAACAACTCAAACCGCTACTTCTTCACATGCAACTACTGCTCGGCATCCATTGAGGGCCGTGACGATAACCATCTCAAACATTTAATTGACCAAAAAACATGTCCCAATGCCCCTGATCGTACTCGCGCAGAAGTTCGTGGCTATCTTGCTACAAAAAAACGGACTCGACATTGCTCTCGCTGACGAGCTACAAAGATCATTTGCATGGATCCCTCCCCTCGCAACAGACTCTGATGACCAGGATTATCTTGCGGGTCCGGAATCAATTACAGATGAGGAGTTGGTGGATGAATTTGAAAGATTCGAGCGCGAGACGCGGGAGGCTGGCCAAGCGCGAGAAAATGATGATGCAAGCGGTAGTTTGTTTGCAGGTGATGTGCCGGATGTTCTGGATGGCGGCCTCGTTGACTGGAGTGAGCTAGAAAGGGTTAACAAAGGTATCACACCAACTGGCTTCGTTAAAGAGACTGAGGTACTCAATCGAAGCTCAAACGATGTATCAGGGTGGAATGTTGATGCACTTTTGACGTCAGAAGGCATAGCCTCGATGTAGTAGTTGAAACTATTTTTGCCATAGTATAAACATAGCTGAAAAGAGCTAAAAACACTCTCAATACATTTTGCCGACTTCTGCCATTCTGCCAACTGCCGTTCTGCCGTTCTGCCAACTGCGGAGAGGCCAATTTACTTCTGCCCACGACACTACTCACGGGCGATCATGCTCATCCAAGTCATGTGACCATTAAATTAAGAAGTTCAGGGTTGTACTCAACAAGTACTTACAAGCGACTTGGGGATTCTTCAGGATGTCGATAACGCCAGGAAAACCCAGAGTATCAGGTATTCCGACTCCTGGAAAGTCTAGCGGCATCCCTACTCCAGGCAGATTTCGTTCTTCATCGTCTGCCAATTCTCAACCCACCTTTGACTCTGATGTGGAGTTTATGTCGCGTGCATTCGTAAACGCGATCAAGGCCAATGATCCTGCACAACATCGCACCAGCACCACTTCGAATAATTCCCCTTCGTCATCTTCTCCAAAGTCAAGTTTAGCGACATTGCAATCAGGCCGTCGTTCTGTAACTGGTCGTCCTTCCTCGGTCGCCTCAACCTCGGCATTTGCACAGAGTAGGACAAAGACTCCAGGACCACGCGCTCCAAGCAGACAATCAGATGTTTTTACGCGTAGCGTAAGTCGAGCCGGGAAAACATTCGAAGTAGGAGACAATGTTAGGATAGAGTCTTTGGGATTCGAGGGCTGCCTACGATATATTGGAGAGATAGATGGTAAATCCGGCTTGTGGGCGGGAGTCGAACTTAGTGGAGGTTTTTCAGGCAAAGGAAAGAATGATGGATCTGTCGGAGGGTGAGTTTTCTGTCCCGTGTTGACTGCTAGCAGTGTCCGTGCACAATAACAGCTGCAGAGTATCTTGCTGAAAGTATTTCTGCAGGAAACAATACTTTGTGTGTCCTCCAAATTGTGGTGTATTCGTTGCTACCGCGAAGCTCTCTGCTCCCACCATGCCTTCTAGCTACCGGCCTCCCTCAGTGGCCTCCTCTCGTGGAGGTCGCATAACACCATCCTTTTCTGGCAGAGTCACTCCCTCGCATTCACTATCTTTTGGAAGTGGACGCATCACCCCGTCCAACCTCTTTAGCCGCTCCAATGCTGGCACAACTCCTGCAGCTCGTAAGACAAAGCCAATTCCACAGTTAGGCTTGTCACAATCCCCAAGACTCGGATTGGACACTCAAATTACCTCAGGTTCGAGGGCCTCCAAATATATCGGTCTCACAGCGAAACAATTGAAAGCCAATGGGGATGATACCTCAGAGTATACTCTTCGTTCTCCATCTTCGCCATCACGCGGACCTCCAGTTGTTGATTTGAATTTACATCCTTCGGATTCTCCATTTACTACACCAAAGGCTGGTGCTGCTCCTCGTGCCCCCAATGTGTACAGCGGCGCACTCACCCCCGGCCTCAAAGGCCGCACTTCTCTAAATACCCCACGCCCAAGGATACCTAGCGCAATTGCTATGCCACCTCCAGCCTCACCTGCACGATCAGCATCCTTTACGTCTACTTATTCCTTGAATGATGGCCCCGACCTCACACATGAGGATCCGACGTCGCGTGTTCAGCTGCGTTCTTCAATGGATCTGACTGCTTCTTCGCAGGCTTTGCAGGATAAGATCAACCAACTCCTTTCAGGGCAATCTATATCGCCACCCAAGATAAGTGGCACCAGCCCATCTCGACCGTCCTCAGTCACCTCCCTTCGATCTGCTTTTCCCGACAGTGACTTGCAAAAGGACGCTCTACATTCTCGCCTAGAATCTCTCGAGCGCGAGAATGATTCTTTCCGCAATGCTGCTGACGCGGCTCGTGCGGACGTCGCGCTAATCCAAACACTCGAATCTGAGCGCGATGCAGCTCTCGCCTCTGTTTCCTCTACGGAAAACCAGCTCCGGACTCTCGAGCGTAAACTCGCCGAACGAGAGTCGAAGACTGAATCCCTCGAACGCGCCGCGCTGAAAACAACGTCTGAACTAGAACGCGTCAAGAACGAGAATGAGGCTCGTATCACAGACCTGCAGGCCAAACTTGACACGAGCGAGTCACTCGTCAAGAGTCTGAAAGAAGCAATTGCGGCGAAAGAGGGCGTGGAGCATGATAGGGATGCGCTCCTTAAGGCCAAGAATGATGAAATCGGGCTTTTAGAAGGTCGATTAGAGAAGGTGTCAGGCGAGTTAGAGGCGGACAGAAAAGAATTAAACGCACAGATTGATGAACTTCGTCAAGCTGGCCAGGTCAGCTATATTACATTTGAACTGACATAAACTTGACCATTATTTTAGGAAACAATCGCGTTGTACGAAGAACGTCTCAGCACAGCAGATTCGCGTCGATATGAGCTTGAGGATCGCGTCGTGTTTCTGGAGGACCAGGTCAAGAAAGCCTCGACTCCTCTCTCTCCAAGCACCGCTCTCCAACGCGCCACTTCTGCTGCTGAAATTGACAATGAGAATCTTCGTGAGCAAGTGCAACACTTGCAACGCAAGCTTACAATGCTAGAGGACTCTCTCGAAGATGCTCATGCGGTATCTGAACGAGAGGAAGCTGCCGTCCGTGAGCGAATCAAACGGTTCAAGGACAAGGAGGATATGATGCGAAGCGAACTCAACGAGGGGCGCAAGACTGTTGAACAGGTTCTCAAAGCGGAGGCTCTCGCTAAAGGTCGCGTCGAAGAGGTCGAAGAGGCCTTGCGAGAAAGTACTCTTGCGCTCGAAAACGCCCAGGCCGAAATCGAAAATTTGAGATCCGACGTTGCTGTGAGTAGCTTATTTCGAGTCACTTCACATGTTAACTGAGTCCATCAGGTTGCTAGGTTGGAAATAAACAGCATCCCCGACTCGCAGAAACTCAAAGCTGATGAGCGCATGCGCCTCATAGAGGAAATTCAAGAGCTGCGTGACGAACTCGATCAATTGCGATCATCTGCAGCATCGGCCTCTTCAACAGCTGATGTAAGAAGCTACCCTGATTTTATATATGGTCATTGACAATCACGAGTGTAGGACGATACCAATTGGCAAGCGAAGCACGAGCAAGTGCAAAAGGAGGTGCTTGTTTTGTGCAAGAGTCTCGAGGAGCGCGCTTTGGAGCTCGACACTATGAAGAAGAGACTTAACCGCGACATTCCTGTCAACAGCATCCAAGAGCCACCAAGGACACCAACCTCGTCTAAGCAGGAATCCGCCGAACTAATGGGTCTCAAGTTGGTTTGTTTCTAGAATTCTCCTTCTCGCGCTCATATATCATTAGACATATTATCCAAGACTTACAGCAAGAGACTTCAGCAGTGACTCAGCGAAATAAGTTACTAGAGTCTGAGAACAGACTCTTGATGTCAGAGACCGATCAACTTCGCCAGGTACGACTCACGTGAAGCAACTGACGAACTATCATTTACCATTTATTGCAGGAACTGAAATTACTGGAGGAGAACATCGAACAGAGTTTGTTGCGTGAAGAGGCTGCTCTTGGAACGCAGAATACAACGGCATCTGGTGACGAGCAGATGTCTAGGTTGGAAGTATGTCAACGCGTAGTGTATTCAGCTTGTCAAACTGACTTGTGTCGCAGAACGAACTGGAACAGTTGCGTAAGCGCTTAACTGAAGCTGAAATGAAGACCGCCCGTGTTACACATGATGTACGTGCCAGTCTCTCTTGTTATACCCTCCTAACCAGTATGCAGCTGAATAAAGAGATCGGTGAGCTAGAGGCGCTCGTGGAATCAAAGGTATGTGTCATCGATGCATGTGGTGCAGATTCTGATTCGATTTGTAGATCTATCGCGAAGTGAGTTTCATCCCACAACTCATAGGTACGATGTCATACCTATCTAACTTCTTACAGGATGAACTCGAACAAGAACTCGAGCGTCTTAAAGAGAAGTTGTCGCGGAACAACAAGAAGTCGTCAAAGAATTGCCTCGAACCAACAGATTTGCCCCCTCGCAAGCGTTCATCCACCCCAAACATTAATCGAAGTTCTAGCGAAGACGTCTGTGAGATCTGTGAGAGACCGGGGCACGACATCTTCACTTGCGACCTTTTGCGGGACGAGACGCCCCCTGCTCGTGAGCAAAACTTAGTCAAGAAGACAAATGGAGATCCGTCAGACTTGTTTTGCGTTGACTGTGAGGGGCACGGGCATGTAGCTGCTGATTGTCCACACTCATTGGATGTCTTTTGAATGTTGTTGAACCTTTTTTTACACCACTGTCGTTTTCCGTACCCCCTCTTACAGGATACAACTTCATGCACACATGGATCACCTACATACCGTATTTTCAGTTAGTAGCATATACCAATCTGCCATCATATACACCCAAATTTCCCAAAATGACGAGAAAGGCAAGTGTCTCCTATGACGCAGTAAAGTGACGTCATGTCATAATGTCTGCGTTCCACAAACATGAGACGACAAGCACCTTCACATTGAACGTTCTAGTCTCTGAACCAAAACCTCGAATATTATAATATGTCCTACGCCTCTGTTGCTGCTCATGATGCTCCTCCCTCGTCTGAGCAGGTATGTACTTACGAAAATTGGAATACCACTGGGTTGTGCTCACTAGTGTGCCCCTCAGCCTCGTCCGGATCCTGCGCTCCTCACTACCGAACGCTCCTCTGCAAGTAATGTTATTGACGACACCCTTAAAGTAAATGTCGTTTCCAGCGATTTCAAAGAGAACCCTGCGACATACACATCCAAAACATATGTTCCAGAAGGCATTGATGACGATCTTGTCGACCCAGGCAGGAAAGCGGTGACAGGTAAAGGTCATAAGCGCCTTCAAGAGGCTCAGGCGGAAGGTATTTATTTGTGGGAGGTCACAAAGCACTATTTGTTTCGTCCAGGTGTTGCTGGTGGTCTCATTGGCCTAGGTACGGTCGGATTTTTCTGAATCTCTGTGTTGGTTGACAACGCTATCCCTAAGTGAATGTCGGCCTTCTATCTCGCGTGGGCTACGGATTCTACACGAAACCTAGTCTTCGTCAGAATTTCACTGCCATCAGCTCGGCAGCGGCAGGAGCACTGCTATTGATCGGGACTGAAGGTTACGCAGCACAGAAGTATCGACAGACCCCTATCGGCCGTCAGGAAGAACGACGCGCGCGTGAGGAGGGCACCCTCATCTACAAGCAGCTTCGAGAGCACGTTTTTCGTCCGGGTGTCTTGGGCGGTTTGGTCGGACTAGGTCAGCGAAAAACCATTTGCCGATTTCTTGAAATGTTCATCCCCCCTTTTATTAGTAAACACAGCAATCCTTGGAGCAGTGGGGTATTACAGCTATGTAAACTGGCACAAACCTAAGTGGAACCGGGATGTCGTCACCGCTGTTGCATTTGGCCTGCTCACGCTTTGGGGTGGCGAAGGGTGAGCAAGATGGTGCTGCTTTGGGTCTGCTGATGCTAAGATTCACCTGCAGATATCTTGCAGAGCGTTATCGTGCAGAACGGCGGAGACAGTAATGTCAGTAGGCTGTATTTGGAAGAGCACTTGTACACTATGCCAGCTTACTTCGATGAATTTTTTTTACTGAGCGCCAAGTGTGTTTGCAGACTAGACAAGTCACTCGAAGAGATTTCTATACATCGCTCTCACAATTCACCACTGGGTGTATGTTAAAGAGCAAGGAAATGGCACACGTATCATTTCATATCGCGCAAAAAAAAGAATTGAAAGTTCCATGGTATCAAACTTGACGGTAGGCTGGGGTGACGGCCGATGGCAAAGTAAAAGTGGTGAGTCACCACAGAACGTTGACAGAGGCAAGACAAGACACGAAGAAGCCTGCGCAAGGATCACAATCTGCATAAGATCTTGGAAATTAGATGGCAACATGATGTTCATGTTGTCTTCTGAGTGAACGGTGTACTTCTGTCTTGCGTTGTCTATGCACTGTATACAAGCCTTCCACAGAGAGTACGTGATTCTGGCTGGTTAGTCTTCGTCTTCGTCGCTTTCTTCCTCTCCTATACTATCTTCATCGTCGCCTTCGCTGTCTTCCGGCTGTGCGGCCCAGTCTGAAATGTCAAGCTTTTCATGTCGCACTGATTCTGTCAAGAATGATTAGTTACGCTGTTGAAGTAAGCGAGCAGGGTAGTGGGCTCACCATTATCTTTTACTTCGTACCCAGCCTGGGTGACACATTTTACCAACTCTGCTTTCATTCCTACAGTAGTACTGTTGCCCAAGATGCATCCATCCAGTTTCGCCCTGGAGTAGGGTATGTCATTGTCAGATAATGATTGAAGATTACACACCCATCAGAAATCACACAATGATCCAGGAGAACGCAGCCCACAATCTTCACCATCTTTCCGATGACACAATGTTTTCCTATTGTAGAATTTTTAATGGTTGACTTCTCTTCGACACGTGTGAAGTCTCCAATGGAGGTGTCAGCTACGAACTGATGTATCTCATTTTCAGTGATGATCTGATAAGGACAAGAAGAAGACAAACGTGACGATTTGCTTCGAGGTACGCTGGTAGGTTGTTGACGCGAATAGCGAACCCGTCATCCGCTCGATGAATTATAATTCCTATTCGAATGCTCGTAGCATATTTTTCCTGCTTAGTCGATTGGTATTGCAATTTGCATAACCAAGGAAAGAAGTCGTCTCTCAGAGAGTCAAACCGAGTCTTCCGGGCCAACAAGTCGAGCACAGCACGTTTACAAACGTAAACATGCGAGTCTAGCAGCATCGAAGACAACTTTGCCTGTGGATATCTAAAGAATTGAGTCACCACACACAACTGCGGAACGATATGAATCACCTTGAGAGTAAGGTCATGCGCAACTCTAGTTCATGCCTGTTTTTATCAGTTTCATAAGGACTATCTACATATAACAGGGTGCCACTGAGATGATCCCATACGATTGGAGTTGGTTTTGCTGGAGAACCCCAACCCCACTCGTCTTGAGTGGCTTGCTTATCTGATTTGTGTTCATACCAACACGAAGTCACAATGGAACCATCCGACATCGTGTCCGTGCGGAACTTGTTGAGCAGCTTTGATAAAGGTAGGGAAGGTGGCGGTATGAAGTCGCAAGGGATGAGAATGAAATCTTCCTTGATGCGGTTGGCGAAATGGCGAAGTACGGAGCAGGTCCCTGCACTTAGTTCCTGTGATTCGTCGAAAGTCTGAAGGTCAATGTGAACGGAAGAGAAGGATGCAGATGAAGACTGTGAATGGATATAATGTGATATTGCAGAGCGGTGGGATGAAGGACAGATCAAAAGGACATCTGGTACTTGATAAGCAAATCCTTGATCCAAATAAGTTGTATGAAGTTATCAAGTCCACCTTTGATACCAGACTGCTCGACCCATGACAAGGGATAGTCGAGCATGGGTTTATTTGAAATCGGAAGCAACGCCTTTGGACAGGGCTCATCACCATGTTCACCAGTCAAAGGAAGCAGTCTACAAATGAATGATGATATAGTAGTCAATCCATAATTCACGAGTGTCAGGACTTACTCGTTCCCAAATCCCGCTAGGATGACTGCTACGAATTCACGAGTGACTACTTCAACTGGAGTAACGTCAAAGTTCATCATCGCACGCAGGGATAGTTTCTGACTTGGATTTCATCAATTTATTATGATCAGAGTCATACATACCCTCCTACTGTGACATCGTGACAGTCACGTACAATTGCGTTAACGGGACTTTGTGTAGCTTCATCGATAACCTCCTGGACGCCTCTGCCAGCATTGTGCTTGCCGCAATGGCTGCTCAGCCAACCGTGCATCAACTATTCAGACGCCTGGAAACTGTAGGCAAGGGTGCCTATGGTTCCGTCCATAAAGGCGTCCACATACCCACAGGAAATATCGTGGCCCTAAAAATCATCAACTTAGACACTGCTGACGACGACGTGGAAGCCATTCAACGCGAAGTAGCTCTATTAACCCAGCTTCGCGATGCCCCCAACGTCACCAAGTATTATGGTTGTTATCTTGACGGCCCGCGCGTTTGGATCGCTATGGAATTCGCCCAGGGCGGAAGTGTCCGCACTCTCATGCAGACTTCTAAGGACCGTGTTCTTGAGGAGCGGTTCATTGTACTCATCACCCGTGAGGTTGTCATTGGGCTCAATTACCTACATAAATCTGCCATCATCCATAGAGACATCAAAGCCGCTAACATTCTCATCACTGCCACCGGTAAAGTTATGATTTGCGACTTCGGTGTCTCCGCACTCTCTGCCACAACTACGAGCAAGCGAAACACTCTGATGGGCACCCCGAATTGGATGGCTCCCGAAGTAGCACAGCCAGTGCCAACGTACGATAGCAAGGCCGATATTTGGAGTTTGGGCATCATGATTTATGAGATGGTGAAGGGTGCACCTCCTCACTCAGATCTGAGGGATGCAATCAAGGTCATGCAGTTAATAACCAAAGTACAACCCCCTCAATTGGCCGAAGCGGATGGTAGCAAAGAAATGCGAGAGCTCGTATCACACTGTCTCAAAGTCTCTCCAAATGAGGTGAGTTTTTGGATTTTGATGTCACCGTGATTAATTAATTCGAGGAACAAGCGATTTTCTGCTGATGAATTACTAAGAACGAAGTGGATGAAATCGGTGTCAAAGGCAAACGTGTCTACTTTACGGGAGCTGATACTCCGGTACGATGCTTGGATGAAAAATGGGGGTACTCGCAATAGCTTAGCGGAACCGCTCGACTGGGAGAATGAGGAGAAAAGAGAGTGAGTATCATTTGTCCAGCACTCCTTACTGACTAAAGTTATGTCTTAGCTTGCAAGGCATGGTAGATGAAGAGACAGACCTTTGGGAATTCGACACAATAAGACGTCGGACGTTTCAAGCTGCATTGAAGGAAGATTTATTACCGGACACCTTTCCAGCTGACTCATCACCATCAGTTCCTACTATCAAGCCTTCAGCACGATTACCTACATCATTGCGTGGCCTTTTTGATGATGACTTTGTGCATCTTGGAATCGAAACCTTGCGGGCTCCAATGCCACCTCCACCACTACGTGATACTCCGAGCCCAACACCTCTAGCACCTCCTTCTTCATCACCATCACGTGATCGTCCGCCGTTCAAACGTACATTAGTTATTGCAGACAGCACAGATGATGTTCAGATGGTCAAATACAACGATTTCGCGTTTCCTCCCAGGACAGGTTCTCGAGCTAAATCGAAACTCTCCAACAATGTTCCAACTGCTATGAGCGTGGAAATGAAAGAGGAAAACACACCTCCAGAGGAGAAGGCTGAAGGTATATACGTTTTAATTGACATCAGCTGTTGACGAATTATTCTTTTCACAAGCTTCTGTTACCGTCATGGAGGCTACTCCGACCTCTCCTCTTTTGCCACCCGTTAGGCCTTTTGCAGCCCGAGAGAGGAGTGGTAGCTCGTCAAGCAAAGGCAGTGATGGTGGCAGCTCTGCAGCAAGTTTAATTCTTCCAGGACTTAAAGACGCAGTGAAGGTAGCAACGACAGTATATCATCTAATTGTTCGCTCATGTCGTTCTAGGTGCCTACCATCACGTCGGAGCACCAGTTGGGTCTAACAGATTTGCTCCCGCCTTCGCCCATGGCCCTTATCCACAATAAAAGCTCTTATGTACATTCTCCTAGCGGACTTGGATCACCCGCGACGACAAGTGAAAAGAGCTCCGTCAGTCTTGGCTCCCTTCCTGCCGCGAATGCTTCCAGCGCTTCCCTTACACTTGCACGAAGCTATTCTCCCTCCGGGCCTTCTAACCTTTCTCACTCTGCTTCATTATCTCACTCTGGTCTATCAGCACAATTGGCGACTGTCGGGCCTCAGGTATTGCCACTGGATCTCTGTAATATCATGAGTCATGACGCCACGAATGTGCAGTTGGTACGGTCTGTCAATGATTTAACAAAATGGTTGTCTATAATCGAAGTTGGTTTTACAACGATGCTCGAACAAGCCGCAGGGGACTCTATAGCGGAAGAGCAGGAAGAAGGTGCTATTGAAAGAGATCCTTTTACGCAAGACATGGACGCATGGAAATGGGATTCTGTAACTGATATCGTCCTAGAGTCCAGCTAGTTTTCAGAATTTGATCATCTAGATATCCTCACATTATAGCCAGTAATAGGTAGGTATACGGACTATACGGACTTGGTATGGACCCCTTTTTACTATCCTTGGTACCTACGAAATATAATTATGCTTGGTGAGGTATTCAATGATGACCTCGACTGCTTTGGTTACATCGCATTCGTCTGTCTTGATGTGTATATCAGGTTTCTCGGGAGCTTCGTACGGCGCAGATATGCCAGTGAAGTCTATATATAAAATGTGTAAGTGCCTTCGTCTTGGAGAGATGGATGTCGTGGTGGTGACTTACCCTTTATTGTTCCTGCACGGGCTGCTTTATAGAGCCCTTTCGGATCACGCTGTTCAACTACACTGAGAGGAGCATCAACAAACACTTCAATGAACCCGAGGCCTCCTTTCTCATGAAGTTCGCGGGCTATCTGTCGATCTGTTCTGTAGGGCGATATAAAAGCTGTGATCGCGATGCAAGCAGAATCCGCGAATAGTTTGGAGACCTTCAAATAAAGGTAAGGACGTGCTCATAGTCCTGGACTCCTGATGTAGTACCTCGCCTATGCGCCTGATATTTTCTACCCGAGACCTCTCGTCGAAACCAAGGTCCTTATTGAGCCCTAAGCGAACGTTGTCTCCATCTAACCGATAGGTGAATTTGTGTAGGTGGAGTAGATGTTGCTCGAGAGCACATGCTATCGTCGACTGCGAAGGAATCAGAGCACCAGTGGTAAGATGAGACAGTAGCAGACCTTCCCACTAGCACTGAGTCCAGTCAGCCAGATAGTGACGCCCGTCTGTTTAAGCAAGTCAACGCGTTCTTGGGCATCAACAGATCCTATGAACCTTAGTATTTTACTTATGGATAAAAGGCGTTCCAAGAACACACCTGGATGGAAAGTAATGTTCGTTGACATTTCAGTACTAGTGGAGGAATAAGTAGAATAGCTTCAGTGACTCACTGTGTTATATCCAGCTCTCCGTGACCGGACTCCCGATTCCCCATGTATAAATGATTGACCATGTCGCAATCTAGGCTCAGTATGACGCCATGACTGAGTCATATATATAGCACTAGGGCTCAATATAGTCGCTGACTATTCAGTGATGTGCGGCAGCAGTTCATTGGGAAGATTGTTTGTACTATAGCTGCGCTGCATCATAACTTGAAAAAGGGTCTCTACATGCCACTTGTGAAGTATACTAAGGTATTGCTGCTAGAGTTATCAAACGTGATAATAGTATTACTCTACTCATACTGCTTCACGCCTCCGAGGGGATGCACGTAGAATATCATCCACCCTGTTGACATTCAAAGTTAAATAACAGATCGTGGTCCGGATGGTACATTACATACCTTATTATCATCTCTGCTGCCTCGCTTGCGCTGAGCACAACCTGCCGCTTCAGCTTATAGCTCTCCGTGACACCTAATTGTCTCATCGAGCCAATGGTGCCCTGGTTCATATCTGAAGATCCTATAAGTTCGAAATCCACGCCTGAAAGTACACGATCATACCGAGCCCGGCATCTGACTGTCCCTCATAATGTGCGGCTCTCAGCCTGGCAACGAGATCGCTCGAATCATAGCCAGCATTGTCTGCGAGGATAGTCGGTATTTGCCTCAGAGCACGGCTGAATGCCTCGGCAGCTATTGCCTTCTTGCCCTTGACCTTCCGCGCGGCCTCCTCCACAGCGCAGCTCATTAACATCTCGGAACATCCACCGCCCAGGACAATGCGGGTCTCTTTGACTGTTTGCGATAAGACAGAAAGTGCATCATGTAACGAGCGCTCGGCCTCGTCAACCATCTGATTGGTTGAACCACGAAGCACAACAGTACAAGCTTCGCCCGCAGCAACACCAGAGAATTTTATAAGCTGTAAATCATGATCAGCTCAAATCATCAATCAATGAGATAATGACGCCAACCTTATCCTCGCCGATGATGATTTCCTCGATCAAATCGCACTTCCCAAGCTTCACAAGATCTGGTTTTTCGAACGTGCTTGCGATTTCACCACCAGTGACGAGTGATAGCCGCTCAACACCCTCAAAATCGGCGTGCTCAATCACCATGATACCTTTCTCTGCCAAGAGAGACTCGGGGTAATTGTAGATGAGCTGTCGATTGACAAAGCAATTGATACCATGTGCGGCGATCGCGTCGACTTTGGCTTTCATTTTCTCCTATAATGTGTGGTTAGAAATTGAGAAAGCCATAAAAGTGTGCTTGTACCCGTTCAGCCCGTTCAAGCTCAGCAAGTTTTCCGGTGGAGTCAACTTTCACTCTGGCTCCAAAGATCTTGATCTTATCAGTATCCATTGCTTTTGAGGAACTGGGCTTCAGTTCCAGATCAATGCGAGTTGAACCCACACGTACAGGTGTTGGCAATCAGAATTTTTGCGTTCTCCATCCGTTTAGGGGAGTTCACAGCAATGGTTTTGTCGAGAATGAAACCTGTATGAGTTACGGTTGTGAGATGAGTAAGATTCATTGCGTCTTTCGGCAGACCTTCGTCAAGGTATGAGTCTGTGAGTTTGCCTCCGACCTTTTTGATGACCTGAATGTGCTCCAGATCTGTTGACCCCTAGAAGACAGTCAGAGCTAGTGTCATATACAGCGTTTACAACATACCTTTAATCGAAGCACGGCATCTACAGCTAGGTTTGCAAAGTAATCTTTTTCTTGTGATAAGACTTTTGATGACAAGGTCGTACGGGCGATGTTGAAAAGATCCTGGCGGAACTGGGCAACATCGGAGCTATTTGAGGGCGCAAACCAAGTCGTGCGCGTAAGCAATCAGAGAGCAACACCAAAAAACGCGAAAACATACGCGTGATCGACCGCTGCATTCTCCAGTGCCGCAAGCGCAGCAATGCTTGCGACCCGGTACCCCTCCACAATCGTCTGAGGGTGTATTTTGATTGCAATCAACTTCTCTGCTTCCCTCAGCAGCTCTGCTGCTAGCACACACACGCTCGTTGTTCCATCTCCGACTTCGTCGTCTTGGACTTTTGAGATGTTGACGAGGATCTTGGCGGCTGCGTTGTCGAGCTGGATGGACTTCAGGATCGTTGCACCGTCATTGGTCACCTGAATATCTCCTGAAGATGCCGACTGCAGAATCTTATTCATGCCTTTTGGCCCAAGCGTTGATTTCACGAGGTCGCCGAGAGCGAGGGCGCCGACGAAAGAAGATAGACGAGCATTTTCAGCTTTCTCCTCTGTTGCCTGCAGAACATCAGATATCACACGATGTGCAAAAGCATCAAGCTGCCAGAGCCTACCTGTTGACCGAAAATATGCATGGACATGGCTACAGTTTTGGAGATTGTGGTATAAGATCAGTCAATCGTGCTCCACTACGAAATGCAGATTACAATCATGATTTCTAATTGTCCCCGATGCGAACAACACCCCTGTCTAGTGATCATTTCTACATTCCACGTGTACTGGTGCAGAGATCGTATACATCCTCGGTATTTACATAGTACTCCAAAGTCCCATGTCAACTATGCAACGTTGCCGAGTTCCCTGGTACTGCTGTTACGGTATGTTAATTAAGTAGATGGAATCACAGACTTTGCTGCAGTCCCACACAACCAAATGACAGACTTCTTGATGGCTTCCGTTACCTCTTCTGTGCTCAGAGGTTGATCAACAGGTGGACAATGCAGGAAAATGACTTTAGTGGTCAATTTATCAGCCTTCCCGCTTGCTCGTTTACTCTCGGCTAGTGAGCAGTAATATATGAAGTCGCAAAGATAGTGTCCTGCATCCAGGGACGAATATATTTGCTTCCCAAATCATGTCAATATTCCTGAAAAGATACAAGCAGATCACTCTCACCTCGACACCCGACTTTTTGAGGTGATGCACGAGCTTCTCGACATCAATTTCTGTGAAAATCTCCTCGGAGAAGGACTCGTATCCTTTTCCAAATCCACGCTTAGGTGGTTCTGTACCATCAACAGGTGGTTCAATGAGGTATTCACTTAGGCGTGCTCTTTCCATCCTCTCCATCTCCGAAGGTTCTGATTGACCGCGATTGGAGTTAGAGGTTTCGTCACGCGTCACGCGTACGATCGGCGCATAACTACCAGTGGCATCCTTCATGTTGTAGCCAAACTTATGTCCAACCCTCTCCATTCGCAGTGGTCCTCTCCCAGCGACACCTACGTGAAAGATGAGATCGAATCCATCTGCTGGCAATATGATGTCTGGGAGGTCAGGATCTGCAGAAGGAGGAAGAACAG